ATACAGTGGGCCCTTGACTTACGAGTTTAATTCATTCCATGACGGAGCTCGTAACTCAAATTACTCGTATGTCAAATCTTAAAGTGAACGAGTGAGACACGTGATGCTGGGCTGATGTTGTGGCGTTCACTATGACGTTCGCTTCACCAACTAGCGGTGGGGTATCTGAAGCTGGCTCGTAACCCGAATTTTAGCTCGCAACTCAAAGCAAAAAATCAGCCGAGAGACAGCTTGTATCTCGAAAAACTCATTAGTCGGGACACTCGTAAGTCAAGGCCCCACTGTACTTGGAAAGTTCAATATACTTGCTCAGATTGACCTTACCTATGTTATACAGTTATACATCATAGAGTCTTTGCCTAACCTCACAATATATATTCAATCACTCTTGTTTTTATATAGCCAATAAAGAAACAAATAAATAAGAACAGAAATGATTTCAGTTTCTAATTGCTTATGGAGGAACTATTACATGAGGACAAACTAATAAAAACAAAATCCCAAATAAAAAATGCTAATTTATATGCTTACAATAAAGTGATCTGATGCAAATTATATAATTCATTGAGTGAAAGAAACCCACAAAGCAGTGACTGAGCTTTATTTAGCAGACTAGTGACCCAGTGCATGAAATTCGTGCACATTAAAAGGGAATTAGAGGAAATATTTTAATATTGCTATTTGCCCTTTATAATAGAAGTGTCAGAGATGAAAGAAAATTACTAAAATGTACATGAAAATCTTCCTCCTGTCAGAGTCTGGGGCACTCCATGGGAACCAGAGTCAAGTCCCCGCCCACCCACGTGCACCTCAAAATCGCACGAGACCCAGACCCAGCCAGCCCCGCCCCCATTGGGCTAGATCCAGACCCGGTCGGCCCCCCCCCCATCAAGCCTGGCCCAGCGCCGGGGCAGGGGGCATGCCCTGAGGTCCCCAAGGCACAGCCGGTTGCCTGGCCCGGCACCGGGGTAGGGGGCATGGCCTGAGGTCCCCCGGCCTGGGCCAGGGGGTGTGCCTTGAGGTCCCCTGGCCTGGGACAGGGAGTGTGGCCTGAGGTCTCCCATCAAGCTCCGCCAGGCGGGGGTCACAGCCTCAGGTCCCCCGGCCCGGGGCAGGGTGCACAGCCTGAGGTCCCCTGGCCTGGGCCAGAGAAGGGGGAATGCCTTAAGGTCCCTGTCAAGCCCCACCAGGCAGGGGATGCACTCTGAGGTTCCCCGTCAAGCCCTGTTGAGCAGAAGGGCATGACCTGAGGTTCCCTTGTCAAGCCCTGCCGAGCAGGGGGCACAGCCTGAGGTCCCCCACCCAGTGGAGCTTGACAGGGGAGCCCCGGGGGGGCCCCCCCCCCCCCCGCGGGCGGCAGGGCGTCGGGGCAGGGGGCACAGCCTGAGGTCCCCTGTCAAGCCCCACCAGGCGGGGGGCGCAGCCTCAGGTCCCCTGCCCTGGCCCAGCACCACGCAGCCTCAGGTCCCTGCTGATTGCTCATTAAGGCTCATTATGGGAACTCAGCGTCTGCTGTGGGCGCAGCCATCTTGTGTTACGGAATCCCTGCCTCTGCCATGGGCACCACCATCTTGACCATTACGGAGTGATGGTCAATTTGCATATTCCCTCTTTATCAGATAGGATTCTGCTGCTCACTAAACTAAAGCCAAATTTTTAACATGCCCTGACATCTGACAAGGCCACAATAATAGGGGAGGTGCCTCATTATTATCCAAGAATATTCAGAGGAAAGGAAAAGGATGGTGAAAGGCAAAGTTAATATGAAAATTTATCAGATTAAGAATGAGTATAAGTAAATCTCCAATTTCAACTGGAAATAGAAATGGCTCAAATTATCTTTATAGACAATCTCAGTGCATGTATGTATATTTTTATTGATTTCAGAGAGGTAAGGAGAGGGAAAGGGAGAGAGAAACATCAATGATGAGAGAAAAACATTGATTGGCTGCCTCCTATAGGCTCCCATGTGCCCTGATTGGGAATCAAACCACTGGAACACTCAACCACTGAGCCACACTAGCTGGCAAGAAATGTAAAGTTTTGATATCTGATAGTTCAGAGTAGAGATAGAAACCACACTCTTAGTAAGGGTTAATATTCTAAACTTCTCCAAAGTAGAGGTATGGGAAGGAGGGAAGGAGACAGGGAGTTAATTCAATGGCAAAGAGTGCAAGCTATGAAAGTAAATTGTCTAGGTTCAATTCCTAGCTCTGACACTTGGTAGCTGTGTGATTTTGACAGGTTTTCTTAATCTCTCTATGCCTCAGGTTTCTCATCTGTAAAATGAGGATAACAGAACTTACTTATAAGGTTGCTGTGAGGACTTCATCAGCTAATATATACAGTGTTTACACAGTGCCAGGTTTATAATAAGAGCACTATATAAACATTCCATTTTTTATTAAAAGATATCTAAAGACTAATATCAATGGAGATATTTAATCAGAGAATCAAGAAGAAATATGATACAAGTGTGCAATCTTTTATCCCGAATCCTTGGGGCCAGATGAGTTTCTAAATCAAATATTTTAAAAATAATTTAGGAGTTTAATATATTATGCTGTCTACATTTTACTTAACATGTTTAGCCTGGCTAGTGTGGTTTAGTGGTTGAGCATTGACCTATGAACTAGGCAGTCACAATTCAATTCCTGGTTAGGGCACATGCCCAGGATTGCAGGCACGATCCCCAGTAGGGGGCATGTATGAGCCAGCCGATCAATGATTCCCTCTGATCATTGATGTTTCTATCTCTCTCTCTCCTTTCCTCTCTAAAATCAATAAAAATATTTTTTCAAAACAAAACAAAACATGTATTGTCCTGGGCAGCAGCCCTTAATCAAACACATATTTCCACAATGAAATGCATCAATAGTAACACCAAATGGAATAAATGAAGACTTTTGAGTCATGTCAATTCCAGTTTTTGCCACCAAACAAATTAAGAAAATAATTTGGGATTTTTCTCAGAAGATGGCGGCGTAGTAAATGCCTGTACTCACTGCCTCCCACAACCACATCAAAATTACAACTAAAATACAAAACAACCATCATCGAGGACCACTGGAAAGCTGGCTGAATGGAAGTCCTATAACTAGAGAAGTATTAAAGAAAGCACACTGAGACTGGTAGGAGGTGCCGAGATGCGGACCAGGCTGGGCCAGCACCCACGTGTGCCGCTTTTTTAATCGGGAGGGAGATCGTCTCTGTGGAGGCCGCTGGGAGAAGCTAGGGATCCCAGCCCCATACCAGACCCCCAGCCCAGGGTTCCAGAGCTAGGAAAAGAAGTCCCTACGGGTAGTAAGAACTGTGAGCTATAAAAACCAGCGTAGATTGGGGCTCAGTGACACAGAGGCTGCTGGAGACCCAGCTGTTCTTCTTAAAAGGCTGGCAACAAGAATTGAACTTACAAGGTCCTGCTTCCTCTGAGCTCCAGCTCCAGGAAGAGGCTCTGGGGAACATAGACACATATGAGGAGGAACTGGATTGTCTGGCATCTGGGCAGGAACTCAGGGAGGCTTTCTCCCAGATGGAGGTGCTGGCAGGGATCATTGTTCCTATGCTGGGAGCTCCCAGGTCACAGGGCTAACTGGCAGCCATTTCTGTTTGCTCTGCCCTAGTGATTCCCCAAGACCCCACCTCATCCAATTTACCTCACCCAAGCTGTGTGCAGCAGCTTTTGCATATAAATGGTCTTTCCTTGCTCAGGATAAAATCTTTCAAATAAGCTGCAGCTGGGCCAGGGAGTGCCAAACCTATCAATAAAAGGCCCAAGACCCAGCACCAGCACCAATCTGCCTTGCTTCATAGCTGGGTCTCATCTAGGCACTTCCAAACCCAATACAAAGAGGAGGAATCTGAAGATCTCTCTGTAGCTCCTGCTGGGTGGCCCCAGGCAGTGGCTGACTTTGCACCTCTCTGGAGACCCAAGAGCCAGTGTACCCAGTGGTCAGTGTCAGACCATACCAGTTAACAACTCTACACATCTGTAAGTGACACACTCAAGGGGCAGACACAGTAAGCATCAAAGCCCCACTGAAGCAAGTCCTGATCCACAGGGGTGTCTCCTACACAGCAGCTCTCTCGCTATAGTCATAGCTGGACCTCACAGCCAATTGGCCTGAAGGTCGATTCCTCCCAGTGACACCAACAACAATCAAGTCTCAACTACAACAAGACTATGCTCACAGCCCACAAAGGGGTGTACCTAGAGCTCTCAGCTCAGGTGACTGGGGAGGCTGAGCCACTGGGCTCTAGAAAACACCTACTCCACAAGGCCACTCTACCAACTCAAGGAGACCTAGCAGCTCTACCCAATACATAGAAACAAACACAGCGAAGCAGCCAAAATGCAGAGACAGGAAGGCATGTTGCAAATGAAAGAAATGGAATTGCAGATGTATTATTGTGAATCTCTGCCTGTTTGTAGTCATAACTTTTATTGTATTAAATAATGAAATAATCATGGGAAATAGAGCAACAATGATATTAAATGAATTTTTTTTTCAGAAAACCTAATGAGTACCCAGAAAACCTAATAAAATGATTTTCTCTTTAAAAAAAGAGAAAAAAAGAATGTATAGGTAATTATCACATGGGATGTTACCTGGATTATACTTGAGGATTTTATGTGTCATAAATTGTTCACAATGCCTGAAATATCTCCCCAGATATCCCCATGGATGACTATTTCAGGTCTCTGATCAAATGTTACTCCCTCTTCAGAAAGGTTTTCTTGATCATACTATTTAAAATGTCAGGTGGGAGGCATGCACACACACAATCTCACAGAAAACTTTTTCCCCTTTCTTTGTTTTTCTTTTTAGAACTTATCCACTATCCAGCAATATATTATATATTTGTTTATTTGTCTTACTAGACTGGCAAACTATGAAAGCAGGAATTTGTTTTAATCGAGCACTTAGAACAATGTCTGGCAAATAGGCAGTTGATAGATACTATTCAATAAATGGCTGAAGAAAATAAAGCTGACATACCAGTAAACAGTGGTGGGTCCCAAGAACTAGTCCTGATATGGCAGGCAATACCTACTTTAAAAAGGAAATTCAAGGTAAAAAAAAAAAGTTATTTAAACATATGTTTATGTAATATGCATATTAATGGGACTTCAAAATAGTAATTAAAAACATTTCATCTTTATACACATACTTACCAAGTAAATATTGATTCACTATCTAGAAAGTAAAAACTAATCATTACATTTACATTTACACTGCATTTGTATTTAACAATTAATTTTTAGTATTTAAGTAAATAAGAAGGAAAAGTATACTTAAAAGAAAAAAATGCTATAGCACAAAACATTAAAAAATTTACTTTGTATTCCCCCTCATGCACAAACATTTTATTCACCATAAAAAGAAACACAAATGATCATCTAATTGCAAAGTGCTACTACATTCAGTTGTACTGTAAAAATGGCCTAAATTAGCTTTGGAGAACAGTGGCATCTGGTTGTATGTACACACCAATATGTATGTGTGTGTGTGTGTGTATGTGTATATATATATATCGTCTTGCTCCAGGTAGTAAAATGGTAACACACTGATATTCTAAAGTAAGCAAGCGAAGGAGTTTGGAAATCACCATAAATGCGCAACAATGTACTTTCCAGTCTAGATAGATGACTCTTGGAAAGGCCCAGCTTTTCTCTCCATCTCTAACCTCATCCATATATTATTTGTGCCTTTGGAATTACTTTTAAAGAGAAGAAAAGGGAAAGGTGATATTAAGAATTTAGGCCACACTCTTGGAAAAAGTACAAAAAATAACTACCATTTTCAAATTACCATACTTGTATCCTATAAATTGACATTCCATTTATTATGGTTAAAAGTAAGATAATAATTTCAACATCTGTTACTTTTACTTTTGCACTTTTTTCTTTCCATTACTCTTAAAACAGGAAATAGAAACAACCCAAAACACAAAAATAAAAGAATGCTCTACCAGTAGCTTTCAAACTGTGCTATCCCAGATTATGCAAGGATTTTCAATTAGAATTACTTGAAAAAAAAATAATGGAATTGAGACTGTATATGTTTCTCTTCCTGAAATAAGACAAGTTAGCACTGGGCCAGGTGTTGTTTCTTAACCATGACTTCAGAATGGGAGAAGATGGTTAAAAGAGCTGAAGCTAGACAACTCATACCAAAAAAAAGATCAGAAGCTCACAGTTATAATCTGACAATGAGATCAAATTTTAATAATTACTGCCCCCTTTGCTCTCAAGTCCTATATTATTTAGTGAGTTTCATATAGATAAACACATTTAGATGGTACTGTGGATAGGGTGAGGAGTGAATTTCCACAGCTCTATACCCTCAGCAGAGAAGGTTCTGCTTACCTGCTTCTGAGAACTGGTTCAATAGCATGTTAGCATTTAAGGAGTAATCCAAAGGGTCCACTTCAATAACTCTTACACCAACAAAGAAAAAAGCTGCCCTTATTTAAGTGAAAATTCAAGATCACTAGCATAGTCTGTGTCAGGGCACATATGAACTACACAAGTCTCATGCTTTTGACCCTCAGTTCCTTAAGTCCCAAGACTGGAATGAAACCAGATAAATGCCTGAGGAACCACTTCACACCCCAAACACGTGCAAACTTTGTTCAACAGAACACTTTACTGCCAAAATGGAGTTGGCAGAAATTTGGAGCCAAGGCCCCCAGGCTGCATGATCTGCTGGCACCAGAAAGCTTAAAAATCTTAACATAATACTGCTCAGTTTGAGTTCCACCAATTTGCTTGAGACGCCTTCCCCAAATTTGACTTGAGAAAGATGAAAGCTGCCATCAAGAAAGACTTTATTAAGACTTATCCTCTATCTAAAAATAATTTGATTTCCCACTCCTGATGGTCATACCTCTATATTCCTTGATGGTTATGTTTATGCTATAAATCTAATGCAGTCTATTTTATGATGCATGTAAATTCAATTTTGTTTAGTACAGGGAGAACTAAATTAGTTATGACAAAGTTCTACTTAGAAAACATTTGTACCAAATAACCCCCATATATCACAACTTATTACCCTCAAAAGTGTGAGAAATTAAAATATAGAATATCTGTAAATTGCTATTATTTTGCATTTGATTTAGCTTGTTCTCTCATTTTTCTGAATTTGAGTAATCATTTATTTGTATACTAGAGGCCCGGTGCATGAAATTCATGCACTGAGGGGGGGGTGTCCCTCAGCCCAGCCTGCACCCTCTCCAATCTGGGACCCCTCGGGGGATGTCCGACTGCCGGTTTAGGCCCAGTCACTGTGGGATCGGGCCTAAACTGGCAGTCGGACATCCCTCTCACAATCCGGGACTGCTGACTCCCAAC